CTTGAGCGACTCTAAGGTTGTGGTTTATCATGAGAACTAAGCAACTTACCAGAAATTTTCACTGATTGGAAGTCAAGTTCGCTTACTGCCTCATAGTTAAACATGCTGTCTTAATTTCTTGGAATGAAGCCGACGACGTGAAACTTTGGAGAGAGATACGCAACCAAGACGATACACAGGCACTTCAGGAGGATCTGACGTGACTTCAAAGTTGGGCAGACGATAACGGACTTACCTTTAACACTTCAAAGTGTAAAGTAGTCCATCTGCGACATGTCGCAAACTACAGTTACAACTTAGGAAACTCCTCTCTAGTAGTATCCCAAGTCGAAAAAGATTTAGGAGTCCTAGTGCCCCATGACTTAAAGTCTTACGCTAACTGTGACAAAAATGCCTTCCGAGCAAACCTTGCACTGGTAACGTTGAAGCGCATTTTTGGACAGTTTGACGGACGAACTTTCCATACAATCTTCAATAGTTTCACCCGTCCCCATTTAGAGTACGGAAACATAGTACTCCCCACCTCACTCCAAAAGGACAAGGTCACTTTGGAGCGTATCCAACGGCGAGCCACGAAATCAGATCGAGGACTCAAATCTAAGCCTTACGAAGAACGCCTCCGTTCACTAGACCTTCACCCACTAGAATATAGGCGTCTTAGAGGTGATTTACTAATGTCTTATAGTATTCTTAACACTTCTGGACATACTCTTAAACACCTACTTAAGCTTAGTTCGAATAATAACCTAAGGGGTAACACCCAGAAACTTGAAACACAACATAACAAGACGGAATGTAGACACAACATCTACTCCTTAAGAGTTGTCAAAAGCTGGAATTCGCTGCCGGCCGAGCTAGTCCAAGCGACTTCTCATGAGTCCTTCCAGAGGCAACTTGACCTATTCTTAAGGACCAAGGACAGCATCACATCATGATTTACCAATTTCTTTTCCTCTTTTATTGTTAACATACCTAGGTTCCTGCCTGGAGGATTTCGTGATCCTCTGCTACTAGACACGGAAGCCTGTTAAGCAAAAGCTTCTTCTATTCCGTCCACAACCATTTGAACCATTTGAACCCAGATAGCAAAGAAAGAAGATCTTAGCAAATGCGAGAACTGAAAACGGAGGCCTCACGCAGCTGTCGGTACCGAGTACATTTTCAACAGTCTTTGGTGAACCGGACGAAAGATTTTGTAGACGTCTAACGTCGAGATCTATAAAGTGGATTCCAAAAGGATCAATAGTACCCGGACCGAATCACGACACAACGGATCATCGTTTAATAATCGGTTGAGGAGAACACGTCGTTATATATCAACGTCAATGAATGTGAAAATGCGTTTGGTAGTGTGGATGGGAGAAGATTATTGAAATTTCTTCAACACTATGGTGTGCTCGAGAAAATCGTCATCATCATACAGAATTCATACGACAGACCACATCGCAAAGTCGTGTATAGAGGACAGATGAAGAATGGATTACAAGTTGAGAGAGGAGTCAGACAAAACCACCTTTTCTTCCCCCTTCCTTTTTCTTCTGGTGGTCGACTGGATAATGAAGACTTCAACATCTGACGGGAAGCACGGAGTACAATGCACAGGTTGGATGCAAGCAAATGATTTAGACTTCACAGATGACCTAACCCTCCTATCCCATACACATCAACAAATGTAGATAAAGAAAACTAGTCTAGCAGCAGTCTCTGCATCAGTAGGCCTCCACATACACAAGGGGAAAAGCAATATCCTCAAATATAACATAGCGAACACAAACCCAATCACACTTGGTAGATAAACTCTGATCGAGGTGGAAACAAGCACGTGCCTGATGAAGGAGGACCCGACGCAAACGTAAAGGCAAGGATTGGCAAAGAAAGAGCCGCAAATGAAGAACATATGGAACTCAAAACAACTGTCAACCAATATTAAAGTCATAATCTTCAATACGAACGTCAATATAGTTCAACTGTATGGAGTCGAAACTTTGAGAACTACTACGAAGATAATGACGAAACTGCCAGTATTTGGTTTGAACGCTGGACTGACGAACCAAAACTTGTTCGAATAGGCCAGACTACGGTCTCCTGTATAGCGCAACAAGCGTCTTTGAGATACTCGTATTAATTTATATCAAAACACAAACTCCGTGCTCAATTTAAAAGTGTCTAATTTAGGAAACAGTACAAATTATATCAAATACACAAAATACCTCAGACAGTACAGCCTGTGCTATACAGTCAGAAGTTTATCTAATGCAATGTAGCGCGCTAAACAGTAAAAGAAACAGTTAATACAAAAGGGTTTGATACTTGAGTATCAATAAAAACATTCCCAACAAGATAGGATCAAATATCTATCTGCGGGGACTCCTGCAATCCTCCTAAGCAGATAGTAAAAAGGTTAACAGTCACACACTGAACCACGCCGTGAAATTGAACTTAGTGAAACACGACCTTATTGTCAATAGTCCGGAAACATGCAAAAGAAATTTAGGTAACAAAACATAAGTCTTTAACCGAAATCACATGATAAAAGCGCAGATGAAGAAGACTAAGGAAGGAGTGGTTAAACGAGATCTGAACAAAGATTAAAGTACACGACGGGGCGAAGAAACAAATAAACGACAGTATTGTCCAACAAAATGCTGCGGAGGGATTTTCATCGTTTTCTTTCCGTTACAACAACCATAATAAAAAGTTACAAGTATTTATAAACAACTGTCTACGCGAAATACTGAGTGTCCGTCGTTGGCCGGATACCATGAGCAACAGCCTACTGTTGGAGAGGACAAACCAGCTTCCAGATGGAGAGGAAATCAAGAAAAGACGTTGAAAGTGGATAGAAAATACATTGTGGAAATCAATAAGCTGCAACACGAAACAAATTCTAACTTGGAATCCAGAAGGGAATGCTGGTGAATGGCTTAGCTCCTTAATGGGGTAATTGGCGTCAGTAACAAGTAAAGGAATTAAAAACATTTTTCGAGGAGTTCCATTGAACTGCGCATTGAGTAGACAGCTAATAATAATGTTTTTCGTCATATTGTAGAAAAATGCTTTTTTGATGTTTAGTGACTTTGTGTAAGCCATTTCTTCATAGTATTCGCTTACATAAAGTCACGAAATTTCAAAAATGCAATTTTCCACGGACTGGGATATTGTACTGTTATTGGTTTCTAGCCACACGATCTTTGGAGTCGAGTATGTAACTCGATATTTAACACGTAGGAGGGAGGCGGAAAATAGCAAAGTCAGCAACAGGAAATCGAAATGGCATAACTCATTAATACAGGCACAGTTACCATCCAGTTCAACTCTGTTCTTCAGAAATGCTAGACCTCATCTTGATAATCGTCAAAATAGGACGAGTAAGTATATACAATGTTGCAGCTTCCACCCAAGATCTTGTATATTAGGCGGCCACGTCACGACAAATCCACAGTTTTGAGACCAAGTCTGTTATTATAGTAGTACTAATACGGAACTTAACAATAATACCGAAATTATAACGAAAAGTATATTTATTATTTAACGATAATTTTGTGTAAATGAGCATGGTATCTTCTGAATTTATTCGTTATTCTACCGGGCAAATTTAAAAGACCTAAATTTAGATGGTAATTGTTATTACTTTCTCGCTTCTGTGAGTCATAAGGTGACTAACCATTCTACTTTGATATTAGTGTATCCCTGTTGGTCATTTAGGAAGGTCTTTTTCAATCGGCTAACAGGCACAGTCTTTTACTTGCCACTTGTTACATACTCACCTATGTAATAACGTCCTTCACGCGTCAGTTTCACTAGTTTTATGGCTGTTTCAACATGCACCAAAATAAATTTGTCAGAACTCAGGTGTTTATGACCTTGTTCACCCTAGTTATGTACAGTAGGACTGGCATTCATCACTGTATTACTTGTAGTAAGTTGCAGATCAGGTTACAAGGACGACTGAATGATATGCATTACTACATTGTCATGTCAGCCTATGATGTTAGTAAACATTTTGGACACCTATGAAAACGTTTCACTAAACGATAATCTGCTTTGTGGAATGATGTTGTCGTTACATGATGTACCTGTTGGTCACCAACGCAAGCGATGTCGATAGTAGAGGACTATTTGAGTTAGATGGGAATGGTGTGATACACAAGCTTACGTAGAAGTCACACTTCATCATTAATACTTAACCTAGATTGTGCTATCGTGATAACCCCATATGTCAACTTCCTAAGTGATTGCTTAAAATAAATACTTTCAACAGGAGATGGCAAATATTAGTATTAATAAGTTACAGAAGTGCAAGACAGAATCACGCCTGTCTATGGCGTGCAATTGATGGATGTGCGTTGACTTTCCTTGACTCCATCGAGGGTCGGCGAAATTTTCGACATTCAGTGACCCTCCTGTTTATCTATTTGTCTATGGTCCAGTGATATTTCAGTGGCCCTAAATACTCTGATTAATATGATAAAGTTACAGAACAACTTGATTGCAAGTAGTAAACGCAGTTTGAAATAATGGTAGGTGGAATACTGAAGAACTAAGTCACACAATCAAAGGATAATAAGTTTACTGTTCCCCATGATATGTTATTGTCATGACATGCTATTTCTTGTCTTCTGAATCGGTCAGTTGAAGTAAATACATCTAACTGCAAGTATGAATTTCCTGAGCAAGCAGTTATATGACTGTGGGTTTTACTTTGCTGCTAATATCTGAGAATGTGAGCCAACTTTATAATATTCACGATCTTTTCAGGCTTAACAGGACGTTTTAATACGAGTTTAAAGTGCCCAAGATTCTTAAATACACACTCAACCGTCCATTTACACAAAGCACAATATGCCTCCAGGATCTATATCACCAAAAAAACCAAAGAAATTAGAAAAGGGCAGTCTAAAGCAGTCGTTGATTGCTTCAATGACATTTTATAATCCAGTAACTTTTCCAGTAAAATATTATAAGCGTTGGTTTTATTCGGTCAAGTGTTATATTGGCTTGATTGTTTGAGTGGCGTCTTTTTGAACTACACAACAAATATGATCTCGCCCGAAAATAAGGATTTTTCAGACATAAATGCAGACAACTCAAGTCATTTTCAAGCACAAATTTTGGACTCAATTTTGAATGAAGACATTTCTGACACAGGGGAGGATTTAACGACTGAAACTATCTCTAAAGGAAAATTGAAGCATGAAATGCGAATGTTGCAAACACGCTTTCTGAATGACTCAACAGCATTACAAAATACCAAAAATCTTTCAAAAGCGAGGGAGGACGAGCTCTTGGTTAGTTTTTTTCACGGAAAAATTCAGCTTATTAGCTTCTTTGAATTGAAACTGTCTCAAGATGAGTTGTCATACTCGTCCAATTGCTTAAAGTATAACGATTCTTCTTGGTCGCGATTACTTTTTGTCACTGTAAAAAATGGAATATGGCTAAAAACTTGTAAATTAAATGTTCAAAACGCAGATAAGCCTTGAGGTTATTTATATGTCATTGTTATTGATCTTTCCCTATAAATTCACGTAACTTGGTTTTTTTATTTAGCTTTCTTCACCGATGTTTTATTGAAGCCATTTAGTTCTAGACCCTAAAAAAGTTGCATCAGTTTACTATAACAAGCACATTTACTCATTTTCGGAGTTCTTATTTTGAAGGTAACAATAGTGGTATGCTTCAGTTCTTTTTAGCGACATTGTGTGTATGTATAGTCTTCCAAAAAGATTAGCAGAAGGCACAGCTAGCATATTGTTTTGCACTTAGCACCATTTTGTCTACAGAACCTGCCTTAAGAGATGTAACGTGATTTTGTGTACATAATATAAGCTTATCTATCCGATCTTAGGAAGTTCAGTCTATGGGAGGGTTACGGAGAATACTGAGATAAAAAGGTCAAAATGAGCAAAGGGCATATTCAGGCTTTCGTTTGCTGATGAGAAGTCATAGCTCTTATCGTTAAGCCACTACTCCATTTGGTGTTTGGTGAAATGTGTATAGTGTTAGCTTATAATTTTCAGATTTCAAACACTTCTCTATCCAGGAGTCTGTAAGGAATTGTCTTAGTACCATATTGTTGACCCATACAAAATTGAGAATGTGTTAAACTAGCACTCATTTGTTTCCTTTATTGAGCGAAGATCTTTTTACCTCTTAAAAAGATGATCCACTTCCGCATTGCTTTGTAAATGTACTGTGTGTTGCTGATGAAGTGATGTGTTTTGTCCTGTTTCTCTACATCACCATGTAGTTGTTTCAAGCAGTGAGGAATTCTTCATAAAGACAACTAATTTTATAGACCCTTGGTTTCTTAGTCTGTTTAAATTCAAATGAGACTAATTTTACCAATAATCTGCATCATAATTATTTTGGAAGTAAAATGAGATTGATGATCCTTGATTTTGTTTTGAGCTTATTAGATAATTACTAAGGTGGTAAAAATTTATCAGTAACTGTTAAAGCCACGCATATACTTTCTGATATAAGCTTTGCATAATTTGTATGGTGAAATGTCATTTTAGACTTTACTCAAATACAGAGTTAATTGGCTTTCCTAATCTTCTTGCTACGCAGCTGAAGACATTGAGATGGAAAATCCCTTAGGTTCCTAAAATTGTTTAGCTACCTGACGATTTTCATCCTTTTAGCAGAACTTATCTCTAAGCCTGGCTATTAATGTCTAACATTGCTAGTTTTCAGATTATAGGTAAAACAAATAGACCTTTGTGAATGCTTTTTAAAGGAAGCCATGTATTAGTGATCATTTGATAATATAATGGTGATTAAGACACTTTAAATACCTTGATCACACTGGATATTGTATTATGTCCTCACATTGTTTTACATATTTATAGTTATTTTTTCGAAAAATGTATTCAGTTACTTTTTTACCCTTAAACTCCGTTCTTAGAGTTCTGTACATTAAGTAAAAAATGTGAGTTGAATCGTCTGCTACAGAGACTTAATTGTCGACTGAGGTCTTTAGAAACAGAACAAACAATCTATTTTACACTTGAAATGTTTAATAAGACTGCTACAGAGAAAATTACCAGTGACGTATCCAAAAGACGGTTTATTTTCGCTCTGCTTAAAGAAAAATATTTTGTTAGTATATATAAATCAGCATACACATATAGCCTCCAATATATCTTGAAGATATATGCGTTTCACAAATTGATCTCATGTTATTAACTTATTTATTTGAACAAATACAAATGGATATATTATGCTGTGTGTTATGCTTGTGTAAAATGTTATCTTCCTTAAAAACACTTTCCATTCAGTTTAATTTCGATGGATGATCTGTAGAATCTGTATCATCTCTAAACAGTCAAAACTTTTTGTTTCATATATTTTAACTTGTTCTCGAAACAAATATTTCAGTTCATTGAATGTCATTTTAAGTTTTTATACTTTGGCCGTTACAAATGAATATTCAATAATCTACAGAATGCTTTTCAAAGGCGAAATAGAACTGTAGATTAGAAAACCGTTTGACGGCTACTTACCAATTGATGCGATAATTTTAGATGCAGAGTTAAAAACTTAGGACTTTAAGCTATATTAAATGGGACTCCATTGGTTGAGATCTCTGTTTTTTGTATATGAGGTTGTGGTTTAAGTAAAATACTCAGATTAGTGAGTAGAGAGAATTCCATCGACCCACCGTTTTAATTGTTGGTCTTATTCGTATGATGGACCAGAGGCTTTCATAGCAGCTTTCACAGGCCTCACTTATACTCGATGGTTGGAAACCTTATTTATAATTAGTGAATGCAGAGACAGCAAAGGATATCATAACCTTACTTTGGAAGCGGCGTTTTGTGTTATCTCAAGCTCAATTACTCACTGTTTTAAAATTTTAATTAGTTTTATTGTATACGCTAACATTGTGTTTACAGCAAACATAGCTATTATACCATTTTCTTAGGTTACTTGTGGTTTAAATTAGTTATTTAACCTTAGTTATTATTGATTTGATTTGAAGAACCGGTCAGGAATCAGAGATTACTCATATTTGTCTCTCGCCATCTGTAACTAATATATGAGTTCGACTAACCGATGTAATTTGCTTTACTGAGATACAAAGTTTACTAAATGTCTCAATAGTTAATACACAAAAATTTTTAATTGACCAAACGGATAGGTGTTAGTTATAAGAGAATAAATAAACAATGTAGTAGAAAACGATGCAAGACAATTGAGTGAGATTTTAATCTTATGTAGTTATTTTGATTGTTGAATATCTAAAATACTAGCAGTTGCCGATTGAATTTGTTGACAGAAGTAATCTTGGTTTCATTCGCAATTACTGTCTATAAATACATTCGGCCATGTTGGTGCATGATTTACAATAGTAAAAAATATCTGTAATCTATGGTTAAACTGGTTATTACTTATTAATTTATCTTTGATATTTGTTGGTTAATTTTTTTACATTGGGCAAGATGACCTCATTCTCACTTCTTACAGAAGCAAAGTATATGAAAATTTCATGAATTTTTAAGCGATTTACTTACTTTCATGCCCATTGAGTTGTAATTATAAATTAAAATATTTAATAGTTACGTATTATAATGACAACTTTGATTTTCAAAGTGACAATAAAATTTTTACTGTCTCTATAATGAATAGCATTACTAAAATTTATAATTAATTTTCCATTATTTTATGTTCTCATTAAGGAACAAATTAAAACATTGTCTATCAGATTAAATTTGGCCACTGCTCGTTATGATACACTTTTAGAAGCTACAACTGAATCTAGTGAATTAAAAGCTGATCTAGCTGAAACAATAGCATGTAAACGACGTTTAATAAATGAGAATGAAGAATTACATGGTCAACTGAAATCAATACGTGAAATTCTACTTACAAAATTACCTGACAAATTGGAAAACATTGATATGAATCAAATAAATATCAGTAATTATTCATTGTTAACTTCAAAAGAATTTGATGTATTAAATAATAAAGCTGTGAATAATTTATCAACTTTAGAATTAGTGAAAGTATGGCTACATAGGTTTTTTAGTTTTCTCTCCCAAGTTAGTAAATCAATTTTTTTCAAAAAAGTATTCTCTAGTATGATTCAATTTTCTACTTTCCTCTCTTATATTGTTCATGCCAAAGAGATTTACTTATGGAAAAAAATGTAATAATTTATAATAAACAGAAATTTTCATGGAATCTTCTTTAAAGATTTCAATTCAACGATCGAATGATGTTTAAGGTCTCGAAATTTAAATATGAGATTTATCTGAAAGAGAGTACTATTAACGAAATAATTATGATGCAAAGTTTACAGACTTTAAATAATATGGCGGCCAGAAATCAATGACGCCGTCAAAGACACCATAGAAAAAGAACTCCATTTTTAAAATAATTTGATAACTATCAAATCAGAATATATGCCATAAATAAGATGGAAAAATACAGTTTTGTTGAACAGTTATTAAAACTTAACGAAATATCATGTTATACATGTTCAAAGTAACCAAGTCGTTCAAAACAAATAGTTTTAATGCACAATGCACATAACAGAGACCCTATATGGAAAGAGAGGAGAAAACGCCATTGAAATTAAGAAAATGGATCCAAATATTGTATAAAGTGTGAATGTCAGATATTATTAGTCGATTATAGTTAGGAAATATCGTACATAACAAGTTTCAAAAAATCACTGATCATGACACAAACTACTAAGATTAGTCAGTATAGTGAAATACAGACAAAGTTGGGGGATCAGGAAATGAATCCGGAGAACGCAAAATGAATTGAATAAATTCATTCAACTAACTAGATTATTTACTTAAATTTGGTAATGATAAAATTAGAAAGTTCCGATTTCAAAAGATGTTAGTTGAAAATTTATAGGAACCTATTAACATTGACTGTATATTGCCTTCTATTTGGAGAATCAGGAGTTGGTTACCCTAATTCTTATCAAAGATCAGACGTAGATGCTATGGGTTATTTCCAACTAAAGTATATTTAACTAACAAACGTCTAAGGGAAAAAACTGAATAACCATTAGAATTTTAACATTCATTTTAGTCTGAGATATTGAATCATCGAAATTCCTGAAGAATAAACCAGTTTGATGGGATAGTTATTATTTTTCAAACAGATTGGATTATCATCGAATTATTATATTAGTTGAATAAAGTCTAAATTCCATTGTATTCTAACTTATTTTTTTAATAAGAGTGAGTATCGTCATGGTACGTATCTTATCTTTGGCTTCTTTGTCGATTTAATGAATGATAAACCGTTTACTTTAAACCACTTTCCGTGACATCAGATATAGTTTGTTTGAATAAAACCCCACACATAACCGATGTTTCATTAGATGCGGACAAATCTGGTTGTTTTTCACTGGTTCATCTATTAGTTTATTACGCATTGAAATTAAATCTCAAGAGTATGGCAATATAAAACTAGACTTCATAAAAGATTATGCAAACTGAATACTCAGTTTACACTGTATATGGCTGAGTCGTTAAGGTACCCTATTTCCAAACGCTAGTTTGGACCTCACACCACTCTTTTCAATTTGAACTGCTGGTTAGTTCTATCACTACCTTGAAGCCATAGAAACAGATAAATAACCAGTAGTTAGGTAATAATCATAATACTATATGTATTAATCACAAATAAAACTGCATATCTATTTATCAAAGTTGTGTGAACAAAACACTGTCTGCTTATTTTCTTATTTCTCTGCTTATTTTATACAGACTTTTAATCGTAATAATATCAATAATAAAAATTGTAACATTGAAACTAATCGTAAACATGTACAATTTGTTGATACAACATCGCTTAATTCATCATTATCAACTGTACAATTGATGAAATGTAATCAACCTGTAAAACAATCAAATCAATCACAATCTCATATTACAAATGATTATAACTTTGATAAAATTGATTATGATCGTGTTGAGGAAATCAGCTCTAAAGTTAATAGAAACATTATTGATGATGACAAATCTCGTGTTAATAATAATGAAGATTCTTTTGAATTACAAGTTATCCGAAAACAACTGAATTTAATGAAAATAGATAAAGAATATTTTTTGAAACAGGTATTTCTAATATTATAAATAATTATTTTTTTAAAAATTGTTTGTATTCTACTATTTCACAATGATTTTTATATGTACACAATAATGAGTTAAGTGCTTTTTCTAACTTGGTAATCAGTGAACGATTGAATCATCAAAAATCTTCAACTCCCAAGAGCATTGCTACTTGACGAAGATAATATGTTAAGAATAATATCAGTATAAGCTGAGATGGATGGTGTCTAACTGTGGAATCCAAGACGCGCATTCCGATCCATTTGCGACTCGTCAGCTAGATGTACCTGCATCCCAGATTCGATGTTCTCCTCGGGACTCGAATCCGGTACCGTTGGTTATAAGACCTTGTGAAACAAGATGATAATGTAATAAATTCAATGTTAAATATTCCAAAGTAATCGCCCATGCAAATAGTTTTGTGATCGAATTAGCTTTTTTTATGATGACAAACTCATCTTGCTTACGCTTCGCTCTTTTGTTTTTCCTTATGGAAACATCTAACATATATTAAAACAAAAATTTGTCATTCGGATAAAGAGTTTTAGTGATATTACGTTCTTTGAAACTTTCATTGTTGTCCTGAACAATAACATGACATAGATGATATTGTTTTGAATGATATTAAATGCTTTACATTTGTACCATCAATCACTGAGAACACAAAACTATATAAGAAAAGATAAACATTGACAAAGATACGATGTACTTTTATTAATAATTTTATTCCAACTAATAAATAACAATTAATATTTACTTTCTGATTATTAGCTATCGAATCTTCGTATTCAATTATCAACAGCTGAAGAAAAAATTGCTTCGCAACAAAAATTAATTATTGAATTAGAAAATAATTCAAATCAAATGAATAAAACTAATTATTTCTCTAATCAAACTCAATTACCATTAGATTTGAATGCAACTATTAAAAATCAAACTGGTGAATTAAGCAAATTAATTCAAAGTGAATTTGAACGATTAAAAGTATGTGCAAATTATTAATTTAAATATAAAAACTGTAGTAGTATTACTGTAAATTATTACTCTCAACAGTAGAGATAGATTTATTCTTTGTCTTTTTTTAGATTTTGAGTCCCGAAGTTTCCACCTGTTTCCTTTTCGCTCCATACCTAATCTTCTCTACTAGTCCTACTAATACTGATATTGTCGCTACTCTGGGAATTATCTTGATTATTTTGGTCCAGTATAGAATACCTCAGGTTAGGATTATATTATTTAGAATGAGTGCTTGTAGAGATTTCATACATATGGTTCCCCTTATCATTTTAATTAGAACAACAAGTGAACGCTTAGGCACAATAACATGAACTTATTCTATTTTCTTAGGTTTTCGTTAGCTGCTTACAAACTGTAGTATTTAAAAGTAAAAATTACAAAAAGGGGGTTGGAAATAATTACATAAAAGAATGTATTTAGAATTCGTTATAATCACAGTATAACTGAGACACAAATTAATTTAGGAGACTAGAAAAATTACAAATCTACATCATATATGGAAGAACATTTTACAACATCTGTAGTAAAAAGGTCAAACAGTTATAAATAAACGGTTACATAATAGTTGATAGAGATTATTAGCAACGCTGATAACCAGAGAACACTGAACAATTGTTTCTTCCTAGTATGAAATCCATAGACTTTTCCTATAATAAGCGTAAATAATGGAAAAACTACACAGCAATTGAGTCTTAACAACGCAGCTTTTATAAGTGAGTAAGTTAGAGAAAGATCGAGTAATGTAATCCTGTAACGGTTCATGATCTCAATTAAAAATAATTTGTTATCCTAAGAATGTATCAATGTGACCGAGGAAACCAACCATTAAGAACGGTAAAACCAAGGAATTCAATAAAATTAGAAATATTCGTAAGTCTATAAACACAAGCTGATCTACCTTTTTCCCTTCTTTTTCAAATTGCAAGACTAGCACTATTGAAGTTATTTACAGAATCCGTGGCAAACAAAACAAGTCAGTCAATGAAATTACAATAATTAAAATTAAATTAATCGGCTAGAGCATTCACCACGACATCATCTAGTTCAAAATGTTTTGACAATTAGAGTTGCATTATCATAGAGGAAAAGGTTTGATGCGGTCGTGGCTTATTCGATAAAGTTATCTTTTACCGACCAAGATTTGCAATGTGGCTAAAATCAATCATTAAACAATTTAAATAGTATGGCTTCTGTTCTTTCATGGTTGTTGAGGTATATTTATTCTTTGGACTGACACTTTTGTTTTCTCATTCCTATTTGTTTTGAAGCCTATACAACCTAATAGCAAGTGACTTGCAGAAATGGAAATAACCTTTGGTACATTGAATCAATCTATTCTTTTGTTTAAATGCATAGTCTATATTTAAAAAATCTATCATAGCTGTTTTGTTCACTTTATAGTCTATTGATCAAGAAATACATAACAAAGAGATTAACTTTCTTCGAGAACAAAAAGAAAACGCCATATCTGCATATACAAATTTAAAATCACAATTAAAAGAAACAGAATGTTTGTTAAATCAATATAAAGAAAAGATTGACGAAATGAAAAGCTCTAATAAGTATTTGAATAATGAATATGATAATCAATTGCGTGAACAAATTAAAACAGCAATGATCAATTTAGAAGTTGAACAAGCTGCTAGAAAAGATGCATCTTTAGAAGTTGAAAAACTTAATGCTCAATTAGATGCTAGTAAAAAACTATACTATGAAGTGAGTTACAATTTATTGTCTTAGTGTTTCAGGCAGTTTGATATTTAATTATAAGGGCTGGTGAGTTGTACTAAAAATTACTGACTACTCGTTATTCTTATATTATCTAATTTAAATATATGAAGAAGTCAAGCATAAGCTTGTATTCCACTGCTAGAAACTATCCGTCTTTGTTTATAAAGCTTGTGATTTGAAGCAACATCGAAGCAGTCCGCACAGTATGCACATATCTCAACAAGAGACTGGTCAATGGCAGTCCTAAACAACAATTGGAAGATACAAAAATCACTAAAAGCTTGGAAATTTTGTAATTGTTTCATCTGACTTTACGGACATCTCCTTTCACAGATCGGTTTTTTAAAATTGACTTGTTATTAAAGATATTTCCAGAATGATCCAATGCCTCAAGTCAATAACTTGAATTTAAACATGTAATCATATATATAATTGATCACACCTAGTCAATTTAAATTACCATGTCCAATTTACCAGGATTTTTTCACATGTTTCCTCTGGATTCCGAAAGTAAAACTGACTTGTAAGTGCTTCACTCTGTACCAAAATAAGTGTTCTGTATTTGGGCATGCAACATACCCTCAGTGGATGACTGCTAAACGGATTAAAAAGGCTGTGAAAGGCCACCGAAAAGCCATAAAACTTTCTGTAATTTTGTCATACTACTTAAAATTATTATAAGTAATAACATTGTTTCCTTATATGTTAAAAGCTCAAGTCAATTGTTTTCCATTTCTTTCTAATATTTTAATAGTTAGAATCCCGATTCAATCAAGAGAAAACTGTTTGGAAAATAAAAGAGGAAAGCTATGAAAAGAGATTGCATTTATATGAAATAACTGAGAAAGAAATGAATGAAATATTATTAGACATACATTGTGATAGTCCCAAATTAACTAACATCCCAGCATTTTCTAATGATTTATGCTCCAAGTCGAAGATAAATACTGTTAATTTACTCAAAACTATACAAAAATTGAAATTGGAAGTTAGTAATCTTCAAAACGAACTTGTCAAAAAGTGTCAAGAAATTGAAGTAAATATTTTTTTAATTTACTCGCCTGTTTTTTTTTATTGGAAGAAATGGATTTTTCATGGTTTACATCTCTGGTTGATTTTAGCTAGACAAACAGTGAAAACCTAGAATTGCTGGTAAACTATTTTGTCTTGGTATAAGACTTCTTAGCAGCACACATCCAAGAGCAGAGCAGAGTTCCGAACCAAGACCTTCCTTTTAAGGAAGAGTGCTTAACCTATAAACCACTGAGATAACATCCCATACTAGGACGAAACAGCTGTCCAGAGTTTTTTTTCGGTTGTCTATCTTGGATCAATCCGAATCGCAAACTATGAAAGCTGTGCAATCCTCATAAACCCTTCTATACTCATTAGAAAAGAATATAAATACATAAGCTAAGAACGGAAGTCTGCTAATGAAATGCTCATTTTTGATGAACTTTAACCTGGTTATTGAAGTACCTAAAGAGTGGTTAGTCGTTTAATCGAAGCTATGGAAAGAAAATAGTCATTATTATGTATATTTTAAATAATGTTTTAGGAAATGTAATAATCCAACAATATTTCAATGTCTCGCATAAATAAGATAAACGGTAGATAATCCATAAGTGATATAATTATCATTGACTTCAGTGACGAAAATGAATTGCTTGATCAGTAGATTCTGAATCAACATCGCCTGTTATCCAATAATCTAATTAGTGTGCGTAATTGATGAATAAACCTGATCATCAATAGAAGTTGAATTTTCTCCATGATTTTTCGATACGACGTTGATCTGTTTAGAGACTATGATCTTGCCCAGAAACAAAACAACAATTTTAGTTTCAGGGCTTCTTTAGCTTAATACGAATGAAGGTGTGTGGTGATTGTCACCTTGATATGTTAAACAGAAGCCCTGACTAGTTAAGTTCAATCATATCTAGAGTGAGACAGTTATCACATATAACGATAGATAATAGTCGCCTAACATCGCTAATTGAAATTGAAAACGTCGACTGTTAGATTCCAATTCAGTGATCTGGAGGTTAACTTATCTCTCTGAATACCGAAAATCCTATTTTCTAAACATTTGTGTAATCCTAATGATTGTTCGTCTTCTGATTTACATTAAGCCTACTATGTTGTAACGAAGTCTCATTATTTGATTATGCATCTTATTGTTTATTCCATCATTTATTAGTTTTATAATTAAAGCCGACTGGAACAACTAACTGTTAACATTTTCTTATTCACCGTTTAATTCTAAACAGATTACTTTGTTTGTTTATATGTGTGCGTAAAGATGGTTCAATTTGTCTTTCTTGTAGTCTGTTTATATTTGTTTTATATGACTGTATAGTAAGTGTGTATGTATTTTCATCAGAATATGCTTAACGAATATTCTAAATTAGAGTAACTTGATCTTTTTCATCTCAATTTCCCTATTCTTTCATTAAACAGCACTAAAGAAAAAAAAACCTTTGTATATGTACAGAGGTAATCGTTTACCTTTCTGATCACCGTATGTACCTTACATTAGGAATTTGAAACCTTTCTGATATTTGATACCAATCCATCTGTTTTTAATATCTATTGCATTCTGTCAAATGAATTCATTTCTGATAGATTGTGATGAAACAAATGTTACGGACATGTTAAATGAATCTGTTTTTATGATAAATTTCATGATCTTTCATAAATAAGGCGAAGTTCATAAAACAACTTTAGTGTTTTGGCTGTTAAATTGTCAGGTCCTGTTGCTTTACCACGCTTGAATTGTCTGATGTCGATGTTGATTTCTTCGATCGTCGGTGGAGTGATATCTATAGAAAGGTCTTTATGTGTTGCTTCGATGCCCGGTGGATTCAATGGTGGGCTTATTCAAGAGTTCTTCAAAGTTTTTCACCCATCCGTTCTGCTGTTGTTGAATTTCAGTTATTAAGCTTATCTTCTTTGTCCTTGATCGGTCTCTCTGGTTGTCTATATTTCCATCCTATTTTCTCCGCTGTCATATAGTTGTTTGATGTTTCTTTCTGTTGCAGCTTTTATTGCTGTCAATCCTAAGTCTTCCACGTACTTCTGCTTGTAGTTTCTAATGCTCCTTTTCGCTTGCTTGTTTGATTCTGTGTATTCATCTTATGCCTTGTCTTTCTCTGCACTTTTTCGATCGCCGTTAATGGCTGTCTTTTCGTTCTATCTATCTTGATAGAAATCCATTCCAACTGACTATGCTTGTTGCGACCCAGAACCTCCTGGAACGTTGAAGTTAGTGATTCCTTGATCCCTTCCTAGTTGTCTTCTATACTAGTTTCTTATTCTTTCAGTAGAATTTAAAATGCTTAGAACCTGTTGTTCAGAACTATCTTGAATTGCTTGGGTCTGTCAGTATTTGGAAGGGAGGTTATATTGAACCTTTGTAATGCTGTTTCTCCAGTTGTCCAGTGTTTTTTATTTTTAGTCTCATCTTTTCAACTACCGGGTGGTGACCTGAAGCTATATCAGCTCCTCTCGTGGTTCTCACGTCTTCAAATGACTTTCTGTATTTTTTACTGATGCAAATATGATCGATCTGGTTATGTGTATTATGGTCCAGTGAGACCCATGTAGCTTTGTGTATACATTTCTGCCGGTGGGGGAAATAGTGCCACCTATAACCATTTTTTGAATGCACATAGATTTGCAAATCTGTCACCATTCTCGTTCCTTTCTCTCAGTTAGTCCATGTCGTTTCATGATATTTTCATATCAAGTGTTGTTCAGTCCGACTTTGTCGTTTAGGTCTCCCATCAGGATTATCAGGTTGTTTCTTGGCTAGTTCCTCATAATCAATTTCAGCCTCTTGTAAAGCTGGTCCTTATCATGTTCATTGATATCATCGGTGGGTGCGTAGCACTAGATAACATTCATTGTGACTCCATTCTTCTTTGTTTTTAAAAATGCTTTGGTGGTTCTGGATCCATGAAACTGTCATCCTTTAAGTGCATTTCCTGTTTGTTTGGACAGCATCAGAAAAACTTCCTGAGTGTGCGAAGTATTTTCTTCGTAAGCGAGTACAGTATCGGTAGTAGCCCTAAAATCGCTACAGGCGGAGTTGTAATACTGCTAAGCATTGTGATAATTAAAATAGGAATCCTGATGAAATATATAATGCTAATATTGATCATTTAGTTGTTTATTTAAATAACAATGTTAATGTTTTAAATTGTTTAAAACTAAACAAAACTTTTATAATTTAATAAAACTAGAATAGGCTATAAGAAAGAGTTTGAGAATGAAAAACAAAACAATAAAGTAACCTATCGATTAATGATCATTGTATACAATTGTCTCCCTTTTATCAAATCCAATATACAAAATATAGCTGTAAATAATTTGTCTAGTATGAAAGATTATTTCTGTAATTTTGTGTACTACTACAAATTGGTTAATTGTATATGATACTTAGATCGCTGATAATTCAAGATACATTTGCCGTGACCAGTGGAGCTAATCTGTTTTGGGTAGAGACAAGTATCTACCTCAGTACAATAGAAGATGACCGCGCAATTTCGTGGATTGGTTGAGGTTAGACATTAACAGCGTTGGATATCGGCTTAGTAGTGTAGAGGTTAAGCGTTTGCGCACGAGACTGAATGCCCTAAGTTTGAATCCTGCGAGGCAGGATCGTGGATGCGCACTGCTGAGGAGTCCCATAATAGAACGAAACGGCAATCCAGTGCTTCCAGGTTTTCAATGGTGGTCTAACATAAATTAGTTCAAGATCTCAACGAAAAAAATATGAATTATTTCAAAATACTTCGTTTACTTTTAACTCTTACATTTTGTTTGATCTATTTAATCTGAAAAAAAAACAATTTACATGAATCTCTCATTATGAATCATCAATATAATTTATGCAAATTAATGAGGAAACTGATATTCTCATCTTTCTATAGTTAATTTATTTTTTAGATGTTATACAATCAGAAATTGTAAATATGAGTATCGTAACTTAAAAATTGGTTACCATATAGTCGGTTTACTTACGTTTTAACTTTTTTTAAACCTTTAGTCTCTCATTACTTATTATTTGTTCACCATACAACAACCGTTTTATACAACTTAACATCATTCTTTCTAATATTAAAGAAGAATTATGAGGATATGGTTGCTTGTTTGATCGTCTGAACTGATGTAAAGCAATCGTTCAATAAAATTCTAACTATTACTATTGAGTTCTGAAATGAACGGATACTGATAATCAAGTTAAGTGACCAGCAAACCAAACTTGTTTATATTCAGCAGAACTACACATTCATATACGGATAATTATATACTAAATAAAATTAACAATAAACATGATTTGAATATACGCATAGTTCGAAGTATTGTAGCTCAATGATAGTGAGCATTAAATGAATTTAACTCTTCTAATCTCGGTTGTTTTGTTAATTATAATAACCTTTCGGTTATTGTGATTATTGATTTTCTTTTTTTAAAGTATATGGTAACTTGAACTGATTCAATATTGTTTGGTTTATTTATTCATAAATAAACATTAGATATTTATTATTAAATGAATACAAATTATTGCACTAATCAGTATAGAATTCCAAAAAAAATTATTGTGAAAGATATGTGTGATCCAATTTTTATGCTGAAATTAAGTAATATCAGCAAAGTGTTTGTTTACTTTCATTTCATTGTCAATAGTCTCATCAGTCATATTCAACTTATAACCTATCACAAATGTGCTTTATTCCAAGTCACTGCACCAAATTACCGAAATACTTGCTTACTTACTTACGCATGTTAGCCCTCGTGGAGAAGCATAGGCTGCCTGCAGGGATTCTCCATCGAACTCTGTTCTAGACAATCCCTTCCAGTTGTTTCCAGTTACTATTAATCCTTTTGACGTCTGCTAGGATACAATCGATTTTAATTCGTATTACTTAAGTTCATCAGACATTGAACACTCAGTTGTTTCATCGTAAGAAATAACAGATTGAAGAAATCAATTATCAAACATTGGTAACGTACACATGTTCTTTAATTACAAATCGTTAGGTTATAAAAGTGCCGAAGGCTAACTCAACTCAATTACAGCTATTTATATTAACCAAAATGGATGTTTTTTCACATTCTGTTAAGATGGATTTCGTTAAAATCTAACGTTTTCAAAAAATAATATTACATTCAATTTCAATCTGTTAATTCATTTCCCTAACACAATTTTATGACTTTTTCGCCATAGAATTATGTATCTTTTCTAGCTCTGTTGTGAACTAATGGTCTTTTTGTAGCACATATGATAACTATTTCTTTACAGATCATCTAGGACATGATAAGGTTGCAAATTGATATTACGTGCCTAGTCACTGACTAATTGTTAACTAGTTCTTAATTTTTGACCGTTTATTGAATTTGAACAATACTCAATGCCTAACTAGGCTACACCAAATTTCAGCTTAGTTAATTGGCATTGGAAGACTGATATATATATATATATATATATATATATATATATATATATATATATATATATATAAGTACTAAACCAGTGAATAAATTATCAAATCCAAATATTTGTATAACTCAATAAAATTTTCAAGTCATTTTAAGTATTTCTTTATTCATAATATTATTGACAGGAATTAAACAAAAGTATGAATTGGAAGTCTATAACTAATCAGCCAACTAACTGTTTATATCAGACAATATCACAAAAAGATAATCAAATTCATTCATTATGCAGTCAGTTAGCAGATATTGAAAGAAAATCATTACTATACAAAGAAGAAAGGGATAAATTAGCATCCGAACGTAATTTACTTTGTGAAGATTTAGAACGTCTTTTAACAAGGAGACAGGTTAGTTTACTTATACATATGTATCCAAATTAATGATCCAAAAGTGGTCAGGTTTAGGGCAAAATACATTGTTTAAAACTATAGCTTGTGAACTTAGGACTGCAAAATAAAATAATGTTGAGGTGACTAATATGAAGTGCTGACTTCAATAAGTTCATACGTTCAATGAAAATCTGAGATAAATAATCAGAATAAATATGGTTAACATGAGTGGAGAGAGATAATGTAGTTACAAATCAGACATCACATAATATGTACAATAATATGAATTGAATACGAAATAGTAAATAAGGGTCAATTCTGAGTAAATTTCTCAAAAACGTTTGGGAGTGTAATTATAATAATATGTATCAATAAGTTTAAGCTATGAAAATGAACATTATTCGAATTATGTCATCACATCATAAAAATGATTACTAACTAATTAGGCCAGCAGTTGGCCAAAGTAAAAGGAGAGGTTGAACATTCTTCTTCAGGACACAAAGCCCCAGTTCACTTCAGCCGTCTGAAGGATTCTTGGTCTGACAGATTTAGGCAGATTGCTGTTTACATAATATATTATGATGAGTGATTGCTCCGTGTTAGCTGTATGGCTGAGATGAAATCGATCTATTAAGAGTTTTAACTATACCTTCGCTTTAACATACTAGGAGATGCTCGCGAGTCCGAAAATATAAATTCCTAGAACACTCGCCAATATCTATTAATTCAACTTCTCATGTGAAGCAAGTTATATTGTATTTAAAATAATCCACTGAATTTTGGAATTTACCTCGTAATGTCACATTTGAAGTCATACTTCTTGTATTGTCTGAACCATTACAAATATTCTGTAGGTTTATACTATTAATATTATGAGTATATTAACTGGTGTCTATAAATATCTAGTTTCCAATCCTTACCTTGTTCCATTGATAATGTTTACTTAATATTAGTCATAAGTAAAATGATCGAAAATCCATTAATTTGGTGATATTGTTTCTAACCCTAAGAAATGTGGATATGAGTTATTAGTTTTTTAAAAAACATGATCTTTGAAAACTTCCAAAACATTTGATTATGATAAATGTCCAAAACAAACAATCTTATTATTTACGTTTATTGCTCACTTACCTAAATATTTTACGAAACATGCTGATTATCACATACAAAAGCGTAAAATATAATAATTGTAATTGAAAAAAAAACTTTAATACTTATGTTTTCCTTTTTATGGGTATGGATATACAGTTATATAGCATTTTATCATGACAGTATGTAAGCGAAAGTAAATTTAATTAAATTTTTGTACTTAGTACAGATATCCCAGCTTATAATTTTTATTACTAACTGACTTTTAATGATTATTAATTAGCTAAAATCAGTTCATTAAGGTGAACTGGAGATTTTATAATAGAACACCTAAAATATCTATAACTAATTGGTTTCAGACAGATATCGGTTATATTGTAGTAAACGTGAACAAAAGTGGGGAAAATCGAATATATTTGATTTTAAAAAATTACAGAACGTCTTAGTAAAATCTGAGAACCATTTAATAAATAAGTCATTTGCAAAATATCAATCAATCGTCTCAGACTTCATCGTCCTTTCGTCCCCACACCAATCATTATCTGTTCTCATTATCTTATATTCGATCTTCTTGACCTTCTACCGCCAGACATTTCTCTTTCGATTAATGATACATACTACTTATATCTGTCGACATCAGTAGCATACATCACAATACTAATAAAAATTATTCATACAAGTTATTAGTAGTATATTTCAATCCAGGCGATTAATTAAATATGAATAAACTGAATGCCTAAATTTAGCGTAAAGCATCAAACTTTCATGATTACTTTTGAAAAAAGAAATTGTAAATTATCATTGATATAAGCAAAGATGGATAGTGACTAGTAGTATAGTCTAGAACGCACGTTTTGTCTTATTTAGGACTCGTTAAGTGGATGACGCGATGACGTTTGAAGCGAACGGCACCAGCTTCGAGTCCCAGAATGATCATTAATTCTGAAATGCAGGTACATCCAGCTGGCAAGTCCCAACTATGACGAAACGTCCATCTTGGGTTCGACTACTAGTCACTATCTGTCTTTGCTTATAATACTTGTGAATTAAGGCAATATCGAAGCAATATGCACAGTATGAACATATACCATTAAGAGACTGATCGATTACAGTCCTAAACATCATTGAAAAGATTCAAGTAAACAATACCGAATGAATTTATCAATTACATATATTTTATAGATTTTATTCATTATTATGTAGTTTATTTCTCTTTTGTTTTCAGAGTTTAACTAAACTACGTGAATTTATTATTTCTTTATTACAACAAATACAATCTAATTCAAATGTTAATTTGAACAAATCTGTAAATCATTTCAATGAAAATAGAATTGATAATTCATTATTAAATAGATTAATTCTATCAAACAACAATAATAGTAATAATAATAATCGAATTTCTAATATTCATCAACAAGTTTATGATATTATTCGTTCTCCATAAAAAAATAACTTGAAATTGATCTTTTGTTTGTTTGTTTCTTTGTTGTTGCTGTTGTCTTGTTTTGTTTGTTGTTTTCTTTTCTCATCTAAAATAAACTTTTTATAGAAATGTTTTTTTTGAAGAAAAAAGAGAGGAAAATCAAATGTAAAAATCATTGTTTGTACAAAGTATTTATTATTTAAAGCAATTAATCCCTTTGAAAACATTTCGGTAATTCAATAAGAAGACAAAGTCTATCATAGTTATGTGATGTACATATATACATATATCTATGTGATATATGATACTGACTTATTATCCAGAGTGGCTACCAGATTGTTTTTCTATACTTTGTTATTTTCTTTGTTATGGCTTACCTTTAACCTGCCTAGTTGACCTTTTAATTTTTCATATATATAAATGTTGTTAACAAGTATATTACGTGTGATTAGATTGTTCGAAATGTATTGCGCTAATTTACCATATAGTTCTGATCAACTTTGTCTTCTGATTGCATTATCGAAATGTATCATTTAAACAATATTATCACTTTCAATTGAAGTTTGTTTAATTTCTTTTTTCTTTTGTTTTCTTTCTTTCTTTTTTTAAAATCGATAATATTTTCCAATATTTTAAAGGTTGATTTAAAGTATTCATTTAATTGTATTAAATTAATTTATATTTTGTTCAAATTATGATTTAATAAAAATTGAATGATCAGTTTAGGGTTGTGGAGGTTGTTAAGTTTTCGATTGAGATCATGAATCGACTAAAGTTAGACAACCATTGAAAAACCTGGAAGCACTGGACGGCCGTTTCGTTATATTATCAGACTCCTCATCAGTGCGCATCCACGATCCCGCTCGCAGGATATATTAGTTCAAGAGGAAGAATGTATTTATTGAAATCTCAGCGAATGAATTTGAAGTAAAAATTAAGAACACGAAGTTCAGCGAAGGGATCCCTTTTCAATGAATTTATTATCAAGCTGTACAATCGTATATATAAGAAAACGTAATAGGGACGTAATAGGGAAACTATAATACATGATTACGTAATACGAATAGTAACAATATATTGAGTGAATATAAGATCATTGAAATGTTTTTGTTACAATAATTAAAGGTCATAGAGATGTAAAAATAAATAAGGTGACATATATATATATATATATATATATATATATATATATATATATATATATATATATATACGATTGTACAGCTTGATAATAAATTCATTAAAAAGGGTTCCTTTTGCTGAACTTCGTGTTTTTAATTTTTAAAGTTTAAATAAGAATTATCTGTCAATTTGAAGTAAATCCAACGTTTCACTTGACAATCTTATCCAAGCTTTTTCAAGGAAATATTAGTTCAATTTTATTGTTCGTTTTATTCTGCAATTAATTTATTAGAAGACTAATATTTGAAGGAAGAATATTCTTTTCGATAAATTCTCTTCAGGTTTTACAATTATATATCCAAATTGATAATCCAGAAAATGGCCAGGTTAAGTCTTAAGTTTTTTAATATGATGGGGATCTTTAAATAACTTATTAGAAATATTTAAAATTTTTTCTAATAATTTAATAGTTGAATTCATGAATTAACTGAAGCTAGACCATCATGGAAAACCTGGAAGCATTGGATGGCCGTTTCGTTCTATAGTGTGGGATTTCTCTAATAAAAACTATTTCACTCTATGCTTTGAATATTGAATATTTGCAAAATCAGAAGGGGTTTTGTGGAGATTTTAGAAATTTTACTGATTGAAATCATGAGTCAATTGAAGCTAGACCATCAGGGAAAACCTGGAAGCACTGGACGGCCGTTTCATCCTAGTATGGGACTACTCAGCAGTGCGTACCCACGATCCCGCCTACCGCAATAATAAATCACTAATACATTGTATGAATGTTTATTTGTTTATTATTCTATTCAGTTTTTCAGTTTGGTAATCAAAATTACAATAAAGAATGTAGCTTTTATTTTATTTGGAAACTTATCGATTGGATGTATTTACAATTGATTGTTAGTATTCATACTAAAACCTGATTCATGTATCTATTATGTCGAAAGAGAAAAAGTGTGAATAATAATACAATAACATACATACAATAAGTTTGAGATGTTGTTGAGATACATGTACTAATTTCACTGCTAGTGACTGATTAATAATATATTTGAAAGCTTATATCTGATGTAAGCAATGATGGATAGTGGCTAGCAGTGGAATCCAGGACGCGCGTTTCATCCTATTTGGGACGCGTCAGCTGGATGTACCTGCACTTCAGAGTTGATGTTTACTCTGGGATTCGAACCCAGTACCATTCGCTTCAAATGCCATCGCGTTATCCACTTAGCTACTGAGTCTTGATAGCCACATGCTTGTGCAATGGGGTGAATTTAAATTCACTTGGTATTGTTTGGCTGATGGTAACATCGAGAAATCCGCTTTAGGAGTTTGTATATCAAAGGAGATTTACAATATTTATTCTTGTATATTACCAAAGACAAAATACGGATTTATGTGAAGAATAATAATTAAATTTTTTAACCTCTTTCTAATAATTTTACATAATGTTAAGTTTTGTGAACAAATGGAATATTGAATAAGAAAAAGAGAATTCAGTGAAAAAATTTTCTTTTCGACGAAATCGCTTACTTACGCTGTACATTCGCATATATGATGATTTTGATTTTTACCCTGAAGACGTCCAGACAAGTTAGCGGGACGAAACGTTGGAATTAGTTAAATTTCAATCGCTGAGAATATTTCAAATATAATTTTCACATATAATGACTTCTCTATACTCGGTGCTCAATTACTGTCAAACTATTCGTTCTAATTTTGACGAATATTCGTATAAATTCGTATATGTAGTTAGATATAGAAAATATACGTCTATAGGAGGATTGAAAAGATTACATCATAAACTGACTGGAGACTCTTATTATCAAATGAGGTTACGCAATAATCAAGGGGTAAGGATGAAAATAATCTACGGGTTAGATAATTATCCAATTGACAGATTCGAAGAAAAACGACGAACATAAATGTCAGAATAATATAAACTGAATAATAATTAAGCAAACTTGCTTTAAGGTGATAATAGTAACTGATTAGAGTTTAAAATCGCAATACAATAATTCAAAAAAGTCAATAATAATCAAATAAAAATGAAGAAAAAAGGGAAAAGACCCGAAACATACCAATAAAGGGAATTAGGGTCAAGAAAGGATGAGAGGTTGGATGGAATGTTTCTCCATGAAAAGTTCGGGCTTGAGTTCGTGGAATGCCAATGCCCTAGCAGTACATAAAATATTGATTCGACATACCTTTGATTTAATTCTTTTGACTGTGTAGATAACTTTAAAAGAAGAATCCTTTGGAGCTATGGGTCCACAATGGATTAAATGCGCCTGTTTAGGATTAGTGATTGTTTTAAATTCTTCTTTCATATCCGTCAATCTGATAATTATATGATCCGTAGATTATTTTTAACCTCATATTCCTTCCTTATCCCTTAATTATTGATAATAAGAGTCTCGAATCAATTTATGATGTAATCTTTTCTATCCGCCTATAGACATATACTTTCCAGGTAACTATAAATACGAATGTACAGCTTAAATAAATGATTTCGTCGAAAAGAAAATTTTCTTCACTGGGAGATCAATCGATCAAATTATTTTCAAAAAACCATTTTAATTTAAATTTAATTTACATTTTGTTACAGTAAAACAATTTTTAAATTTCCCCATATTTAAAATTATTTACTTAAGGTTTATGGAGACAAAAAAGAATGAGCAACAATTGGATAGACCTAGAAAGAAAGGTCAATGACAAAGTGGGTTGGAGAATTGCGGTCGGAAGTAACAGGCGTAAGTAAGCAAGTACTTTAAATAAAATATACGATATCTTAATTCATTAAATATTTTGTTTGAATGAGTAGGTTCATTTGGAGGAATTTATGAAATAATACTTATTGTAAATATTTTTTAACATTTTCTCTATAATTTTAAGTTCTTCAATAAATTTTTCGAAAAGAGAAAAGACGGAAAACAACTTTGTAGATGATAATTCATGTCGTTCACCATAGAAGAGGAAAAATTAATGTAATTAATAAACTGCAGTTGATTGCAGTCCATCTACCTTGTTCAGCTTATTTGAATATGTCTTATTTAGGTTTCCAGCGAAACGACAACTAAATTATATTTTTTGTTTTATAATAAATTTCATTGGTATTACGTAACTTAGTTTTATTATGGAATTGTAAATTTAGTAATTACAATTGCTTCTGATGTATTTGCAGATCAACCACTGAATGAGTGTTTAATGCAGGCTTGTTCTCGACTTTATTCATCCATCATAGTTTTTATTACTACTATGAATAGCATTGTCTGACAAGGAATATCTATACGCCTAGCCTATACAAAGAATCCTCATCAGTAAATATAAGAGAAAGTATTTTTAAAACAGTATATCAATAATCCAAATGTTTAACCGAACGTTGATTTCAATTTTTATAACTAAAACAATAACACTCACTTTAACATTACTCTTATAACTCAATTAATTCTTCCAACGTTTACATAAAGAAACTGTTATGATTGACAAGTAGCTTATTTTCAACTAGATCAATAGTATGTGGATACTTTGATGAGATTACAAATTATAGCTTCGTTAAGATAGTGATATGCATAATAAAGGATAACATAAGCGAAATGCCATAAATTAATCTCTCAGTTAAATGAAACGAAATATATGGCCTGTAACTTATGGTAAACAATTCATTTACTACTTCAATTCAAATGATTATAATCTGTATAATTCATAAACTTTATGTTTATGCAAAGAAAAGTCCTGGATTGCACTGCTAGCCGCTATCCATCTTTGCTCATAAAGCTTGTGACGTAGGGCAGACATCCCAGGATGCACATAAACCAACAACAGACTGATCAATTGCAATCCTAAATATCAGTGGGAAGATACAATCAAACGACACCAAGTGAATTGAAAACTTCACTCTATTGCACAATCAGGTAGCTTTCAGGACTTCATAGCTAAGTGGATAACTTGATATTCTGAACGAACGGTACTGGGCTCAAATTCCAGTGTGAATAAATGAACTCTGAGATACAGATATATCCAGCTGACGACTCCCAACTAGGACGAACCGCTCAGCAAACTCTATCCACTATTAGCCACTATCTGTCTTTAATTATTAAAAACACTTTCTTTTCAAAAAAGGCATTTTCTTTACAGAATAACATCCGATGTAAAATCATTGAAAAAGCCTGCTGATTCAACGGATTCAATATATATATATATAATTAAGCGGAACAAGATACTTTTTTAAAAAAAATTGAGAACAAGTAATTCACATTCAAACGATTCATGAAAGTTTTAATTATGTTCATATTAAACCTTAAATAAACATTCGACTACCGTCCATTAGTTACTTTTATTTTAATTTCAAAATACACAAATATTTACATATTAAAGATTCCCATTGTGAAAATTAGAACAACACATATAAGCGAACAATTGTTTTCAATTAGATCATTATCAGGCTTTATTCTAATATTCATGAATATTTATACAAAAATGTTAAACCAATCAAGGTAATTTAGGTCAATAATCACAATGAAATAGAATAAGTCACCATAAATAACAGGTAAAAGTACAAGTTGGTAGTAAGAAGACAGGTGTACTG